CGTGCGCGCTGTATCATAAAGTCTGTCATTGAGTCAACTGGCGTGGTTTCGAATCCCCGGTTGTACGTGACAAGGAGTAGGGTCGCCTGTCCAACCTCGTGGGTTTTCTCCGGGTCCTCCGGTTTCCTCCCACTGCTAAAAACCCTTCCGCGCAAGCGAATTATGGAAATAAAATTGAACCATATGTTAGTCCCGAAATGACCTAGTTTGTGTCCAGTGGACGTTAAACCCCATTTCTCTCTCTCTCTTAGATTTAAAGGGCGTAAAGTTCCAGCTCGATATTATCAAGAGTCTTCAACATTACAAACAAGAAGTGTTGGTCCATTCTTATCATTAGTGATGCTGTTATCTTAACGTGAAAATATGGGCTCATTTATGCTGTAATGAGGAGCCTTGATGAACGAGAATAAAAGTCAAACTGTAATTCCGATGTAGACTGGACTAACCAGCGGCAAGTGACTGTCGTTCAGTTTGGACAGCTCGCACATTTCGACGTACAAAACTGATTAGAAATTGCAATAAAAGTTTTAAAAAGTGAATGTAAATGGGTTTATATACATGAATATTACATTAATATGTTCTTCTTTGACCCATTTTAGGTTTCCAATCTTAAGCGGAAATCTGCTTGCTTGCTGATTTTAGTGTCGTTTTAGCTTAATATTTGCACCCAGAATTATATATGTAGGCATTCGACATTTAACAAAGGACGTCTTATTTAAATCGACACTTTTATTTTATACTCAAATGATTTAACCCCGTGGGTGCAGGACCCTAAAGTCCATTTCATTTCATTTTAGAACATAAAAGCACAAAAATCATGAATGCATATCGTGCTGCCCTGCAATATTTAATAATTAAATATTATAATAAAAAGTCACAAAGTATGGGATTCGATTTGATATTAAGACAACACAATATTAGCATTGCTTGGCCTATCTGCTTGAGTGTAACAAGTTGTTGATAGCGCCTTTCCGCCGACTTTAATGCCAAAACATGTGTAACTAGACGATTGAAACAACTCATTTGCCAAAATTATAACGTCGTCAAACGGTTAGATTTTTTAACATTAATTTATTTTAAGTTGCGTGGTCTATTAGATAACGATGCATACGAACCATATTGAGCAGCACATAATATGCGTTTGCAATGACTGGCCACAGCTCGGGTTTTTTGCGAATTATGTTTCAAATATCATTTACGTGTTGGTCAAGAATGATAATGAACTGCATCGAAATAGAAACCCGTACCTCGAGTTATTCTTCTTATTTTTTCTAATTTAATGGTATTTCTCGATCTAATTTAATGGCATTTCTCGATTTATTTTAACGCTAACAAAGTTATAAATATTGTCATTCCTCTATAGTTCAATGTTTTTTCCCCCAAAACTTATATTATATGTAGTAGTGTGTGGCTAATCCCAAGAAGAAACCTATTAATATCCAGAGATCGGTAGCAATCCTTTGTAGAGCAAATACCCCCTACCATCGCAATATGTCGAGACTGGTCAAATATAAACGACTTCTTAGATCAATAGTGGCACGGTGTGTTATTTTGAGCAAGAACTAAAACCTCCAATCGATAGTTATGTACGGAAAACATCGAAGGAATAAATATTTAATAATTCACATTTCAAAGGATGATACCTGGCCTTTCTACCACTAAATTTATTTTTCTTAAGAAGTCCAAAAACCAATATGTGGTATTGTTCTGTAAACATAAAAGTCACAAAAAGGTCTTAGAAACAACCATGTAGAGATGAACAATTAAGCTTCCGAACATTGTATACTTTAATATTTGTGCAACCGTGTCCTCGCTATTCTTTAATTATTCAGTGCCGTGTGTGTGGGTGTGTGTGTGTTTGTGTTTCATGGTGTGTGATAGTACGATAATAATTGTTACCTTTTACATTTGAAAATAACAGTTTAAGCATATTAATGCATAATATATATAATAGACAAAAAACAAAACAAAACAAAACAAAAAAACCCAACCCAATAACTTATTATTGGCAGTGTGAAGTTAGCTCGATTTGGTTAATAAAGAAAAACGAGCTACTCGTTTTTCGATATTGGCGAATAACGAAAAACAACTAGCTCGTTTTTCGATATTGGCGAATGTCGAAAAACGAGCCACTCGTTTTTGGATATTCAAACTTGAATCTCAAAAAAGCAGATTTGATGGATGTATATCTACAGAATGTCTCCAAAACACATTTGATTAAATACGTTTTCTAAAACGAACTAAAGATATCATAAATGAGGATGTCTGAGCAGTAGATTCGCATAAAAAAAGCTTTCCATCATTTTTTTTTTCATATTGGCGAGTGTCGAAAAAAACGAGCTACTCGTTTTTCGATATTCAAACTTGAATCTCAAAAAAGCAGATTTGATGGTTGTATATCTACAGAATGTCTCCAAAACATATTTGATTAAATACGTTTTCTAAAACGAACTAAAGATATCATAAATGAGGATGCCTGAGCAGTGAATTCCCATAAAACTTATATTTCTCCTTGTTTTTTGATATTGGCGAATCTCCAAAAACGAGCTACTCGATTATATAAGTATTCTAAAACGAACTAAAAATATCATAAATTAGGATGCCTGAGCAGTGTGTTGACATAAAACTTGAATCTCAAAAAAGCAGATTTGATGGTTGTATATCTACAGAATTTCTCCAAAACACATTTGATTAAATACGTTTTCTAAAACGAACTAAAAATATCATAAATTAGGATGCCTGAGCTGTGGATTCACATAAAACTGATATTTCTCCTTGTTTTTTGATATTGGCGAATCTCGAAAAACGAGCTACTCGTTTTTCGATATTCAAACTTGAATCTCAAAAAAGAAGATTTGATGGTTGTATATCTACAGAATGTCTCCAAAACACATTTGATTAAATCAGTTTTGTAAAAAGAACTAAAGATATCATTAATGAGGATGCCTGAGCAGTGGATTCACATAAAAATTACTCTTTCTACTTGTTTTTTGATATTGGCGAATGTCGAAAAACGTGTAGCTTGTTTTTCGATATTCAAACTTGAATCTCAAAAAAGTAGATTTAATGGATGTACATCGACAGAATGTCTCCAAAACACATTTGATTAAATACGTTTTCTAAAACGAACTAAAGATATCATTAATGAGGATGCCTAGTTGTTTTTCGTTATTCGCCAATATCGAAAAACGAGTAGCTCGTTTTTCGTTATTCACCAATATCGAAAAACGAAAATCGAGCTAACTTCACACTGCCTAAATGATTACCATACACACATTGTCGAGATATATTACCGTAAACATACTACAAATATGGGGAAATCGGGTTAGGGTAGTCCCACGGAGAACACAATAACTTCTAAACTAGCTTTGATGGCTCGAAGATGGATGTTTGTCATTTGTTAATTCGACGATATAAACATCTTCAATCCACTAAATCTAGCTTTGAAGTTATTGTGTGTACAGTGAACCCACCCCAACCCGAATATCTCATATTTTAGTATGTTTACGGTAAAAATACTACAAAGTAGGAGGATTTCTAAAATTTTGCAATCATTACATGTGGTTTATTCTCTTGTTTTTGTAGAATGAAAAATCTTTTGCCACCAAAGCTGGTTGTGTTGTTTCTTTTAAATGCAGAGTTTACAATACCCTTAGCTTGTTCAGTCCACAAACTCGGTCACAAATCCTGGTGCTAGAAACTGATATAACTCTTTAAAATACAGATGTGACGTCACCCTTTGATGTTGGCGTACCATTATTTCAAATAATCGTAATGGCAACTTGCCAATCGTACCTTGTCAAATATTAGACTCGAGTGACGTATTTCACTGTAAACGCACGTGCGGAGTGTCTGTATTTTAAGATGTTTAATGGTCTCGAGCTGAGACATTGCGTAATATATTGTAAAAACACTCGGACCTGACGGTCCTCTTGTTGTTACAATATATTACTTAATGTCTCGCTCTCGACCATTAAACAATACATAATGCAGAATAGAAAATTAATGAAATTTTGCATGTTCAAACCTTATGCATTTGTTGATTTGATGATATAAATAAATTCAATCACCTAAGCTAGTTTGGATGTTATTGTGTTTACGGTAACATATCTCGAAAATGCAACATAGGAAAGTTCTGGACTTGAGCAGTCCAACAGTTGGATTTTTATGCAGAGTAGACGCACCCTTTACTTGTTCAATCCTCAAACTTCATCTAGTATCCAGGTGCTGGGATCTTTGCGGTGTTAGGAACTTTGCGGTGATATAACTCGATAAAGCAAATTAGAAAGGTAATGAACTTGTTCATACCTAGTCATCTGTTAATCCGGTGATATAAACAGCTTCGAGCCACCAAATATAGTTTAGAAGTTATCGTGTGCGCAGTGAGCCTACCCTAACCCGTTTACCCATATTTTGGGTATGTTTACGGTAATATATCTCGAAAATATTGTAGTTTATTCATCCCTTGATTCTTGATTTATCTGATATACCCGAGCTTGCACATTGTACAACTTCCTGTGTGATTATGTACTTTCACTTCTAGGACATTACGGATCAGCATCGCAGTATAGGACGCGGGTGTTGCACAGTTGCAGATTATGATTAATCTGTCCGTGACAAATAATACTTCACAACTCGGTATCATCAGTTTGAATGTTCCCGGTTAGAAAATACATTTAGTACACGCAATGGAGTTACTTTAAACATAATAGTAGGGAAATGATGATGTGGATCTTTCGGATGGTCACAGCAGAAGATTACCGTGTGTACCGATATATACCTTGATAGGGAGCTATTTTATTCACAGTGACCTCAGTGATACTTTCAAAAAGCAAATTTACGAATTGAAAGTTTATCTTGTTTATAAGAAACGTTGGGCGTTTTGTGGACTTTTTGTCTTTGATGCCAATTTTTTCGCATATTATTATATGTAAACTATTCGTATTGTTTTTTAAACTTTGTATTCTAACTTGAATTTAGTATACCTGTCTTATTTTCAGGAAAAATTTGAAGGTATAGCAAAATGGAATTTGGAAGATATGTGTATCAAAGTATTTTTCAGTTAGTGGTAATATCCATTCTACAACATGCTATTGGTGAGATATATAGAATTACAAGATATTGAACTAAATGTTACTTCAAATGAATACCTTTGATAGGTTTTAAAAATAATAATAATCTTTTTGATGGGTTCAGGGTTTGTTTGTAATTCTCCCAAATTCCTTCTTCCCTTTCATGACAAATTAATTTGTTAAACATGTTCAGAATATTATGAATATATTTTCAGACGTTACCGGCGTAAATACAACATCCCGACGAATGATATATTACTTGTATACAGTACCACGAACATGGAACGAAGCTAAAATATTATGTAATAACCAAGATGCTACACTGCTTCTTTTAAAAAATGAAGATACAGAAATGCAATTAAAATATTTAGATGAAATATCAGAATGGAATGGCAACTTTACCACAATGTAAGTTATTGGTTATTCCAAAAGCTCATCGAGTTGAAATAAATCTTGGCTGTGAAAATCTATATTCCGTAGGTGGCCTATATCACAACTAACCTTACGGTTCACCATGTATTTCGTAAATGGTGAACAGTCCTTTTGCTGATTACCCTATTTTGCCGATACCGTTTTTTAGGTGTTCGAATTTTGCCATTCTTTTAACACTATTTTATTAACTTGAAGTTCCAATATATAGAACTGTAAATAAATCATAACATGCTAAACTACTTTTTTGTTGAAATTAGCAGAATATATTGCGCTTCAAATAAATGATAATAACAAAAGAAGAACTTTCAAAATAAAGTACAAGTCAACATGAGCAAATTTTGAAGGGATGTTCTCTTTATACTATGGCTATCACTATAGAATTATGATGACTTTCAAATAATGTGTCAGGTAATTTCAACTGTGTCGAGTCTTTAATGTCTTGAAGTAGATCGACATGTATAATGCAGACATTTTCGTATCCGTACGAACATACGTCTGTCATTTTCTCAGGCCAGTAAAAACAATTACTGGTTTTCTTTCCAACTTAATGCATACATTCGACTTGTAGTTCATTACTATCAAGAACATATCCAGGGTAGCAAAGGCCTTCATATCGGACAATAACATACTTTCCTACACAGAGGTCTGGTTCGGGCAGCTTATCAAACAGGTAGTCAGGTAGAACTACTACAAAGTGATCTGAAACCAAATGTTTGATAACCATATCACTTCTAGTGGATGTCCACAATACAAACTGTACCCGGCAAGTTTTGTTCCCTGAGCAAAATGAATCTATGCAGATCTGCTCTCACATCCACATTACCTAACTGAGGATAGATTGAAAATAAATTCACGCCTAACACACTTGACAGTGCGCGGATTATCCATATTCCCATAAGAGATCTAATCTTTCTGATGTTATCTAAATATTTCTTTGATACGATCTGTAGTAAAGCTATACCTGTATCAAATACGTGGGTGTATTAAGGATAAATTTTGTGTACATGCTTAACGTCCTACTGCTCTGCACTGACTGGGCTAATTAAGGCAGGCATTTCATTAATCATAGTTGATCACTGTATACTGGGAGCTTAAGGTGTGTGTGATAGGTGTTTTAAACGTCTGGAGATACAACTGATTCATTTCAACTTGTATTATGTATATTTATGTAATTGTTAGAGCTAAATCTGTCTTATTGTGTTTTTTCCGTCTTCAAATATAATGTAATATAAATTATTATTTAAACATTTGTTAACATGACAAGCCCATAATTAACTCGAGACTTAATATTGATTCTTGAGTACCGTTGATACGATAATAATCTACGCTACAAAACATCAAACACCCATCGCTTTGCACATTATACATGCTTGATATGGCAAAAAGAATCGAGTTCTTTACAGTAACCATTAATTGTCCTTACTGTAACAAAACCAGACCCCCATTATAATTATATATTATTGAACAATAATTGTTTAATTGTTGCTGTAGGATACCTAACACAGTGTGATTTGTTACTGTAGCAATTATCAAATATCTCAATCATTAATGAAAGCCAGTTTAAGCATTTATATTATCAAATGTCAATCATGTCACAAAATGTACCCATCCAGTAACAAAATTAGCCGTTACAGAAAGGACAGTTACAGTACTGATAATATAGACACTGAACTGTTGATCAAATAATGAATTCTCCTACTACGGTGTTAATTATTTTTATCGAGGCAAGCTAACTCAAATTTATACTTGCTGAAAACACTACAACTTTTACCTTGAATATATAAAAAGTTGTTAAAAGGTTGTTACTGGAAAGATGCTTTTAAAAAATACTCATAGAATTTAGTTACCAAATCTGGTATTTTTCTGGAAAATAATTTATCTAGGCAGATCAACTGTTTGTTGTCATTTAACCTAGAAGGCCAGGTACTAAAACAAGAAATTACACATTCGACAACAAAGGGAACCTTTATTATTTTAGGGTTTAATACTCTTTACAGAATGGACAAAATTTTTAGGGACAGAAACTTTTTCAAAAACAAAGTTGAATTAAATTTATTTGTAACCATTACGAAATACCCAATTGTTTTTAAAGATGAGTTAACTTTTATATTAATTCATTCAAGTTGTTGTTGGCAAAAATACTGCATGAATAATATGTGAAATATACAAAAAAAAATCCCAAACACGTACCTTTTCATAAAGTGCATAGGGACATCAAATTTGGGCATTTTTTGAGCACTAAATCAAATATTTTGGGAATAATTAGATGTATCTGTTATTTTTTGTGTTTTAATATCATCAAATACCTTATAATGTATTTAGAGAACATCTAAAACTGTGTGTTTTTCGGTTAGTTTAAAAAAAAATGCAGGAAGGAAGGAATTTCTACCGATTTTGATAATGACTCATATAATAATAATAATAATAATTATATATAATAATATTTTAAAGGGGATGTGTGAAATAGGTTTTTTTAAAGTTCGCTTCCACCGAAGTGATATCGCAGACAATTTAAAGGAGGCCAACCAATGATTTGATACCTCGCCAGCCCTTTTTTTTTTATCAATCTGAGAGTCACTCCCCAAGTCATTGCATTGTCCTAGTTTAATTTCTTACATGTAACTAATGACAACTTTGTTTTAGTCCAGTCGATTCTACACCTTACCAGAATTTAAACTAACACGTTTACATTATTATTAATGTTGATATATATATTTAGATTAACTGTACTGGTGTTCCGAGAGAGATAAATAAATCGATCCATCTGGCGGAATTCTGAGATTTAAGTAAATAGTTCGCGATGTATTTGCATTAAGCATTTGTTATGTGTATTGCTCGTGTATTACTCATGGCCTATCATGAGTTTAAAGATACATTTCCACGAACGTATTTATCGTGTTATTATTTGCAATAAAAGTAGTAGAGACGCCCAATCTTAATAGAAAAATACTGGATTGTAAGAAAACACCCAGTGGCCGCACACAAGACAAAATGTAAAGGTGCCCTTAACGGACATCCTGTCAGCTCGAGTGGCATAAATGACAGATGGCCTAATGACTAACGGTTGTGAAAACACTGAGGGTATTAACCATCAAGTAAAGTAGACTCTGCGATTAAACGGTGGGAAAAAGTTAGCAGATGATAATCCAAGAATGTATTTAAACTTCGATATTTATGGTAAATGGATAGCCACTAATGACTAATACAACCCAAAAATGAATTCTTATCCAGTTACGTCACGTGACAAACAAGATTGCTAATACCAGATTGGTTTAAATGTTTTGAGAGGGATTTGAAACAAATTTTTTTAATATGTTTTTAGTCGAGATATATCATCAACCCACACAATTTATACGCGCGAGGGTGCCTTTAATTTAATTAATTCCCTCCAGCATTGTTACACCATATTAATAATTCAAATAGATTATTAACTGGGATTGATTGATATTTCTGTGGGTGTCGGATTAAAAATCATCGATATTTAAACGACATGAAGTGTTTAATTATATCGAACCAATTCTACTTCGTGAATAGCAAAATAATACACTTTTCGTACAAGGCAATTGAAATGTTATTTTGAATAGAATTCTGAGCTTCGATTCTGGCTTTACAATAGTCATTATAAACATGCATCACTAACTATGACAAGAATACGAAGATCCAATCGATATTGGGGTTTCTTAAAGTAGGGATATTAGAAATTATACTTATAAAAGGTCCACCTGCTCCGAGAAAGACAACTTATTAACGTAAAATGTATAATCCATGTGTACCAGACTCAACGCTAAATACGATTTTATAAAGTTTTCCAATTGAATGATAATAAGAGTGGTTTACGTGTAATATATCACGATTAATTATACTTATTGTATTAAATATTGTGGTATTTTGTCACTATGAACACGGGTAATGTTTCTCGGCATTCACAATCCGTGCTTAAAAACTATGTGATGAAATGACAATGACCCAGAGAGTTTTCTCTTAGCTCAGGGAGAGAGGGGCCGGGCCGGATTAACCTAGTGTGGACCATGGGCCCCAGAACTGTGGGAGCCCCGTAACATTCACCATATATGGATGCAACACATCCTTTTCTGTTGAATGAAACAAAACATGGAGGGGATTGTAAGAAATGCTTATATCCTGATAGACACACAACTTTGACCGATGTGAAAGCCATTTCTAAACCAATACTACAAAATACAACTACACACTACCTTATTATTATTATTATCTTCGATATCAAAAAGTGTAAACATTTGAAATATCTATTTAATCAGTGATAAATGGAACGACTAAACATTGAATAAATAATTTATTTTCCACAAACAAACCTATTGTTATCCAAATAATTGTACTTTCATCTCATTTTTTTGTTATATTGGCCCATTATTTTACTATGGAAACCGGAAATACCCTCTCGCCCCTCCTTGCCTTCGCGTCATAGAATAGTAGGGCGTTAAACGCCATTTCATTTCATTTCGCGTCAACGACGTGCGAAGGAGAAGCCAAGAAGGCACGTCAAATGGTCCCAATCTCGCTCCTTCTTGCATTCGCTTCGCCATGAATAACAGTCTTTGGTCCGAGTCATCTGAAAAGGGAAGGCGAAGCGAGACCACTTCTCGTGTTATTGCCTCATAGCAAGTAAGAGTGATGAAACTTGGTTTATAGTTTCATTACATCAATACCTTGACTAAATTCGATAATGAGCATTTTCTGCCTAGGCAGGGGGCTGCACCACACATAATTTACACAAAACCAAATATACGGACAAGACATTTTACGCAGAAATCACAAACAAACGCACAATTCAAATAAAGTGAATGGATCTGGGAGCTAGTCGTAAGCGTCCACTGCGCTGTACTGTCCCGGGCCTGTAGTGACACAGACTTCCCTCAAATTTGAAAACAATAACCTAAAGAAACCACTGTGTAATACCAGCATGAGTCATGATCTGCTATATGTTACAAGAAAGATGAATGTAAGCATATTGAAAAAGAAATTTAACTATACAAGTAACCACATAGGTAAATGTATAAAAAAAACCAGGTAGTCTAAAACTAAATGCTCTAATAGTAACTGCAGGATTACCGCAATACAAAAATCTACAAGATAAACCTGCGGACAAGACAGAAAATAGACATTGCACCAAATAAACAAATATCAAATCAAGTAAATGGATTCGGGAGGGGGGGGGGGCAGCCGCAAGCGTCCACTGCGCTGTACAGTCCCGAGTCTGTAGAGACACAGACTTCACTCAAATTTGAAAACAGTCAGGAATACAAAAAAGACGCAACAGAAATAATGCGACCAATCTTGACAGTGGTCGTCTCCTCAATGGTGATAGTCTACCAGTTGACGTCATGAGTTAGAACGCCAAACAATTTTATCAATAAGGGCGATAATCCGGATAGAATCTCGGAAAACGCTAAAATAATAAATGTAGTGAGCAATCAGGAGCAAAACCCAACAACGAGAACATTCTGCAGTACGAAGGGTTAAAACTCTACTCTAATAGTAAGTGCAGGAGAAACGCACTACACGCAAAACAAAAATCTACAAGACATAACTCTGCTTTTAATCGAGGTAGAATGTTAAAAATTAATGTAGATATTTATTAGGTAAATGTCTTGACTGAGTTCAATGATTAACATTTCCCACTAAAGCTAAGCAGAGCTAAGTAATTTCATTGGTAGACTTAGTATAGATAATCAGTTTGATTGCTCAATACTTAATCAACATGTGTCGTCTATTTATTTTGGGATTTTGGCTTGTTTCACCCTAAAAATAATGGCCCGCTTTTATTTTGATACAATAAGGTTGGTTAATTATGAACCGGGTGTTTTTAAAATTTTCAGTTATGAGATTTATTTAGAACTCTAGATTTATAGGTCTTATGGACTGAGTGATAGATGTCGAAGAGACATGGATTTATTTTTAAAAGCCCATTATGAATTTACTCTGTCCATTAATTTACTCGCAGCAATCCTTTCTAGTATTTACCTTAACAAAGAATTGAAACCTTTTCATTAAGTACGTAAATATAGGAATGTTGACGTACACTATTTATATTCAATTTTAGTTTAATGTAAAATAAACCATGGACAGAATTTAGATACACATTAAAAAAAGAAAACTCAATTAAATTCGCTTAAATATCTTCAAAGTTATCTTGCCTTACATCAATTCAATTAAAAAAACCCTTGTGATAATTATTACAATTATACAATATTAAAGTATGCTTTTAAAGGTCGATGGATGGTGTTTCAATATCGATAAGACACAATAGCAATTTGACCCTATAACAGGTACAAAATACGTTATCGTTAATGAGAAAATGTTGACTTGTTTTGTGTTTTATATAAACAAATGTGAGAAATCGATTTGGTGATGAAGAAAAATAGCATTGCGAACCTATTTTCATTCCTGATTATCCATATCCACCACGTTGTGTTCTTTACAGTTATATTGCGGTGACCATTTCCCTGGCACACAGGTTGCGGATGTCACAAATTGAACTTGATAAGAATGGGGTGTTCATACTGTGATAATCAAAACTACCAACATCCCTGTGGATTGGTCGACTAAATCAAAATTTACATGTAATTTTAAACTGCAATGTGTAACACAAAATAAATCAACAGTGCTAAAATCCCATTTAAAAGATGCGTGATGTCCAAGCTATTAGCAGAACTAGATCTTTCGTTGGCATTAAATATGCACTACATGGATGGCCGAAACATTAAATGAATTACAACAAGCACGCCATTTAATAATTTATTTATTATCATAGCAATTATACTTGTCAAACAAGACAATATGGGACAAAACTTCAAACATTTATAGCTCCTCTGAGTATAAAATAATTTGCTAGAATTTTCAAAATATTCATTTTGTATTATCAGTTTTTAAACTATTGTAGCACGAACGCATATCTATGTATTTAAATCTTACATAATGCATCATTAACTATCAACGCACTTGGCGAATGGCCAATGGGTAACTTGTAACCAAAGGACAACAGTAGGTTTACGTTTGAAGTCGGTTTAATACTAAGTACAATGTATTTATTAATGGTATCTGATAATAATATTAACGTATTTCAACTCGGCTAGGCATAAGCAGGCCCAATTAGTACCATGGTTTATTTTACATTAAACTAAAATTGAATATAAATAGTGTACGTCAACTTTCCTGCATTAGTTAGGAAGCGACCCCACTCCATGTCACCATAGCGGAGGACCCATTACTTGCATATCAGACCTACTACATCTGGTTATCCAAAGAATTTTGTTCTATTCTTGACAGGTTGACAGCGGAACCGTTTTGGATTGGGCTATATGAGGATAACTCAACTTATTATTGGGAAGGTTGTAATCCTCTAGGTAATTGGTCGTTTTGGAGTGCTGTTACATCTCAGCCAGGAGATATGTGTGTTTCTATAGACCTTAACTTCAGTGGTATGTCGTCACCATGTCACACTAAGCGTAACTTTATTTGTCAAAGAGACGAAGGTATGTCTTTTTTCCCAATCTGATTACAAGATAGATTTTATTTTATAGTTCAAACTTCGTTTTATTATGACTCAGAACATTACGATCTGGAAAGAATTTTAAATAAACTGCGTTCTCTTTCATATAAAAGATTAACCAATGATATGGTCTGTTTAGTCACGTTTGGGCGAGGTGTGCATTGAATTATGAGAGTAGTAGATAAGAAAAAACCCATAACATTAGTTTAAGTCCTTTTGTGACCTTTGCCATCCCTGGCGTGACCTTCCTCACAAACCTGGGGGTTTGGGTGGCCGAATGGTTACATCGTGCGCGTTGCATCATATGGTCTGTCATTGAGTCAACTGGTGTGGTTTCGATTCCACGGTTGTAAGTGACAAGGAGTAGAGTCGCCTGTCCAACCTCGTGGGTTTTCTCCGGGTCCTTCTGTTTTCTCACACTGCTAAAGACTCCTACGCGCAAGCGAATCATTGTAATAAAAGTGAACTATATGTTAGTCCCGAAATGGCATAGTTTGTGTCGAGTCGACGTTAAACCCGATCTCTCTCTCTCTCTCTCTCTCTCTCTCTCTCTCCTCACAAACCGATCAGACCGACAAGGAGTGGAATCGGTAGGAAGTATTAAAACAGAAAGCCAAATTTAGATCTGTGTTTAAATCAGATTGTCTTTTTTCTTTTTGTACTGGATTTGTTAAATGTTTTGATCCCGAAACCAAACATGAATACTGCTATAACAGTTTCGATGTCGATTTGGGATTCTGTACTCTTTGTCGGTTGTGTTCTGGCAAAGTTACATAAAATGTAAACAACATGGTTTTAATATTGTAATCGTCTATTATAAATAAATAAATATGCTATTCTTTTGAATCATGCTGTTATATTGTAGGAGAATGTTGGTTTGATCCCGTGCCATATAACACTACAACCGATGGAATCAGATCAGCTAAGATAAATGTTACAGATGAAGCCGATTGTGCTACACGCTGTCGAAGCGCTTTTAAATATGACGCCGAATGCTGGGCCTTTTCCTTCAACTATGTGACCTCAGATTGTTACTTACATTATCACAACGACACTTTGGCATATATTCGACCCAGCAGAGTTCTAAATCCTGATCAAAATATGATTTTCTACACTAAAATGTGTTTAGATGGTAATCATTTAGATACTGTTAACACGTTATCCACCCCTTGGTTGGGACATATAGTGATACATGTTTATGGCCAAGGGGTGTATTCTAGATGCCAACTCTACGGCCTACTTTTATATCGAATTCAAACTGTCAATGGGTCTTTTACGTGCATGCCAATGTGTACACGGGACCTCGGTTTTTCGTCCCATCCGAATGACTAGACAGCTGTCCTTGTCAGGCCCTAACCACTAACAAGGGGAAACCACGTCGGAAAATCCCGATGAACTTTCTCGGCCAATGCAAGGATCGAACACGCGTACTTGTAAAAACAAAATGAAAATAATACTAGGATCCTGTTCTTGTCTAACTAGAGTGTTTCGGGGATGTAAATTGTACTAAATCAATCGATGCCGCTCCAAACGGTATAGTTAATAATAAAGCAAAGTAAAAAAACAAAAAAAAACTAACGTATCTAAAGCTGCTGTAACAACAAAAAAAAAAAGCTAAATATACTATTCAAAAAAAGTAGGGGATATTTGATTTTGGGGGCATAATACTAAAATATGCAAATGACTACGAAAAAAGTCACTATAGAACCAGACAGAAGAAACATTTCCAGTTACATGTGACGCCCAAACGCACCAATAGCTACCGCATGGAATGCAGGTGATGCTTGGGATCATCATGGGGGTCCAACCCAAGATTTGCACGACTCTGACTTTGAATGTTACAGTCATTGTGGCATTGAATTCCAGGGTGGAAACATCAGTTTAATTGTTTTAGTGACCAGAAAACAAATTTTGATATGCGTCGGCTTACCCAAAATGAAAGGTTACGTGCCCTTGGCATGCTACAGATCGGCACAACACAGGCGGTTGTGGCGCGGACGATGAATGTTTCTCAGTCTGTCATAAGCAGGCTATGGTCCAGATACCGTGATACACAATCTGTACAGGACAGACCACGCTCAGGTCGACCAAGGGCGACAACTCAAGCCCAGGATCGATTTATCCGTACCTTGGCCTTGAGAAATCGTGTCATCACAGCAAATCAGATCAGCGCTCGTCTTCAAACAGACACTGGTGTGAGAGTGAGTGGCCAGACGATTCGGAATCGACTGCATAGGGGTCACCTTCGCGCCCGACGTCCTCGCGTGATCCCTTGTTTGAGAGATCGTCACATTCAGGCAAGACGTCGTTGGTGTAGGGATCGTCAACACTGGGATAATCAACGCTGGAGCAATGTGATGTTTTCAGATGAGTCAAGGTTCACTGTTGATTTTTTGGACAGACGTAGGAGGGTGTGGCGTCGTCGAAACGAGCGCTTCCAAGACGTTAACGTCATCAGACATGATCGATTTGGGGGTGGTTCTGTTATGGTGTGGGGAGGCATCACTGTTGCTGGAAGAACGGCTTTACATGTTGTTGCAGGGCGTGTTACAGGCCAGTACTACCGGGACGACATCTTGGCAGTCCATGTTGTGCCGTTCGCACGACGTCATGGCCGCTGTTTCATCTTCCAGGATGACAACGCAAGATGTCACAGGGCCAGGATCGTTACAGGTTACCTCCAACAACAGAACATCACCACATTACCTTGGCCAGCACTGAGTCCCGACCTCTCCCCCATCGAGCATGTCTGGGACGTCAACGTCAACAACGTCCTGCCAATGTCCAAGAACTTGCTGCTGCGTTGCAACAGGAATGGGGTATGTCACGTCGGATCAATGCTTGTTTGGCAAACAGAGGAGGATTTACCCGTTACTGACTTGCTTGTGATGCTGTGGTAACTTTGCTGTTTGACCCCGGGTATCATTTTACCCTTATAATGGTCAGTCTGTGCCTTACTTAGTCTAACGATCATTTGGAATAAATCGATGAATGTGAACTTCATTTCATTTTGTCATTTGTTTCTTCGTCAGTTTCATTAGGTGACTATAATAACACTTAAAAATCAAATATCCCCTACTTTTTTGAATAGTATATTACTGATAATAATAGTGTAGAAAATGTGTAGAAAATGATATGTGTGGTAGCTATTTATAGCCTAATAGAAAATACTCCGGATTATGCACATGCTCCATAGCTACCCGGCAATCACTTGCGAATGAACATTCGCTGTGGTGAGTTCAACTTTTAATAGAGCAAATTTAATTTTGATTGCGTGGGGCACTCTATCTTTGGATTAAACAATAACTAGAATAGCTTGATATATTCATGATCAATTACTTCCGTATTCTCTCCTTCGTGAATTCCATTCTTAACTAAGATATTATATCTTGTGACAATGTTTTCTATAGGTATAACACGAGTTGATAACCGATCACTGTCACAAGATAGTACAACGCCTTTGATGAGTTCATGTAATGGAGTAACACCATCCGATGATTCAGGTAATTATTGAGTTGATCGGTTAATACTTAACAATGTATGAAGATAACAAATGACTCTTCAGAAATAATATCAACCCAAAGTTCCCATTTTATGGCGACAGTTTATAGATTCACAAAGTAATCAACCCTGAATTTGTGATTTGAGTTACGAAATGCCTAAATAGTTTGATGTACTAGTAAATGATCCGGAATGTATGGATTGCTATAAATTGCCATTATATGAACGAATATCTCTTACTAATGTATTTAAGCCTAACCACTTCACGACACTAAATGGGTTTAAATTTGCATTAATTCCCTCCGCGATCCCTTGTCAAGTTACTGCAAAATTTACCTAGAAGAAATTGCAACATAATTTCTGTTTATTGCAAATAGTTCCCAACACTGCCCTGTACAACATATCAAAAATATAGATTAATATAAGCGAAGGAAAATTTTTAAATGGCATAAATCCAAGATGACCACCCTCCCTCATATTTTCGGTCAACATTATATCTTAGACAGAATTGTCTGAATTAATAGTTCAATCCGTAATATAACTCCGTCGACTTTTCGGGTAGAAATCGTGAAACAAGCTTTAATTCGAAGGTTTTGACGTTTAGTAACAAAGAAACAATGTTGACATTTTTTCTGGGTATGTCTTCATAGTATGGGCGCCATTATTTGCGATAATTCCAACTTTTTTTATTTTCAGCTGTATTAATATTTGCGAGGGTCATGACTATATTACTGATTTTTTTCATCACTTCATGAAGATATTTCCAAGATGGCGGACAGTCTTGGTGTGAAAATGAGACGATGTGCAGATTTTGATTAAGTAGTCGTCTTTGGTGTCAATGTATGATTTTGTAGACGCAGATTCCATGATCACATGTTCATATATTTAGCATATTTCCAATGTGGCTGCCATTTGTGGCCAGAATAATGGAAGATGTGCTGATTTTGATTAAGTAGTCGTCTTTGGTATTCATTATACACCTGCGTAAAATGATTGTATCTTCACAAATTAAGAACATTTCCAAGATGGCGGAACGTTTTCTAAACCCATTATTGTCATTTATTTACTCGTGGTTCTTATTTACAGGTTTCTGACTCCAATTCCGCTAGGTGGGCTATTAGCTTATAGCATATTCCTGGAAGCCGGCACAGTGTTGTACCCATTTGGTATATTATCAAACGATATAAATCATCATCCGAGTTGACCACTGAGCTACAATGTGATCGACCAAGTGAATATGCTATTTTCAGGGAAAAACAATATCAGCTCAGTGGTCAACTCGGAAGGGGAATAATTATTGTCATCGTTTGGATAATATACCAAATGGGTAAAACACGGCACTGGCTTCCATGGACATTTTACAAGCTAATACATAGCAGAACTGGATTCAGAAACCTTTTCAGGTATGTTAAGAAAACGTCTTGTCATCTTGAAAATATGCGAAATGGGTGAACATACGATCATTTTACTACATACGATCATTTTACTACATACGATCATTTTACATGTTGAAAATGGCAAAAATCGAACTTGAAAACATAATAATGAAACAAAACACCACTACTCAATCAAAATCAGCACATCATCGCGTTTTCCCGCCAAAAATTGCAGCCATGTTAGAAATATGTTAAATATGTGAATCTGTGCCCACAAATACATATATTGACACCAAAGATGACTACTTAATCAAAATCAGCACATCGGCCTATTTTCCAGTGAAATATGGCTGCCATCTTGGATATATGCAAAATAGGTGAACAGGTGATCATTTTACACAGTTGAAACAGGCAGACATGTAATCTGTGCCCTTGAAAACATATATATTGACACCAAACAGTACTACTTAATTAAAATCAGCACATTGTCCGATTTTCCCACCAAAAATGGTTTCCATCTTGGAAATATCTTCATGAAGAGATTGAAAAAATCAGAAACAATCATAACCCCTGTCAATAATAATACAGTGCCAAATCACAGTTGGTATGTCGATAACATTATAAATAAGGTGAAAATTATCGCAAAATGGCGTCCCATACTATAAAGACCTGCCCAGAAAAAAATGTGAACATTCATGGTGTTTTGTTATCAAACATCAGAACCTACAATATAAAGTATGTGTCACGATTTCTACCCGAAAAACCCACAGATTTACAATACGGATCGGGCTATTTGTTTAATCTCAAACTATGCATTGATTGGATTATTACTTCTAATCAGATATCCATACTAGTAGAATAATCGCCGCCATCTTGGAAATAACAACCATTTTAAATTACGAGAAGAGAAGCTGGGTCTTCAGCATTTACCCGATGTCTATTATTAACCGAAGATGTATTCACCTTTACCTACATTTAAAAATGCATTCCCTCAATGCAATACCTGCATAGATATGTTGACAGAAAACAAGCATGGGGAGGCCATCTTGGATTTATGCGAATTATAAATTTCCCCGTACCCCCATGAATCTACATTCTTGATATGTTCTTTGGAATCAGGGGAGAAGTTGTTTACCACAAACCCCGTTTCTGTTGCAAATTTTTCTAGGTTTGGTGATTTATTTCGCTAGACTGACTGGACTATAATGGTTAAGTAATTTTTGTAAACTGTAGTTTCACATCCAAATTCGTATGGCTTCAGATATATAATTTCTCTTATCATATTTATTATATAAACTGTACAATGTCCATGTTTTTCAGTATATGATACTGATGTATGTTACTGTGGCTGTGAAGCACCACCAACTATATTTGATCCAGAACTCGAGGCCTTGACCATAGGTGATAAGGTTGAGGCAATCCACAAAGAACTGACCGTGGATACCAAAAACATTTCCTCGTCCGTTAGGAAACTTGTTAGTGCCACAGACAATCGACCCAGTGCTGTTAGTATCGGTTATGTTAGTGTATTCTTTATGGCTCTTGTATTCGGTGGTATAGTTCTTCTGGATATAAATGTGCTAGTATCTGCTATAAAAGATCTCTACAGGAGCTTCACCAACAAGAATGACGACATGTCGTCGAAGGAAAGCAACATGTGAAGTGTAGTATTGATGGATTTATCTGAAGTTATTAATTTAAATACCTTTTCTTCACCCATTATTGATATACATGTACATATAAATAATTTGAATTCCGTTCATTTTACAAGCTTCATGATTTTAATACAAAATTGACAACACTATTTTTCAATAGAGCACACTTTTCATTTGGGATATATTATACATATTTATTCCCACCAAATGTTTGTTTTTGTGACCAAATATGCTTTGGGCAAATTGCAGTCCATTCAGCCTCCCCACAGCTAGAATTCCAATCGCTTTACAGGCTACAATATTATTAACAAAACTTTCTTTTTTGAAAAAAAAAATAATATTAAAAAATTCGGGATTGACCATTAGTAGTCCATACCATATTGGTGGATTGACAGACAGGTATCATTTACTGAAGCACTGTATGCAAAGGTTTTAAACCCGCTTGGGGTGTTCAACCTGCCATTTAGTTCTGTTGTATCCCAACTCTTCGTCTTGTGTACACCAAGCTGACTGTATGTTTTATTGGTCTACATAATATCTTCTTTCAAGAGATGTTTGATTACCCGTAGGGGAAACGGGGTGAGAAATGTAAGACGTAGCGTGTATTGTCAGGGTTTTTGTTTACAGACTGGTATTTCAGCAACTGTGTATAAAATCGTACGAAAAAGTTGACTGAATTTTTTACGAAATTGTACATGCCTATACAAGGGGGATATCCTCCATAAATCCGTTCTTATTGTTGTAAAATTTGTGAATTTTGAGACATCTTTATTTTTTTTATTAATACGTTTTATTTGAAACTAAATAATTTGCACATGCCTTTTAAATGGAGATTTCCGATTCTAAGCTGTTTGTGATAACGACATTGTTTAAATCCTGTTTATTGTAAATCCGTCCTTAATCAAGTTAATGTTGCAAAGTTTTATAACGTAAAGTTTTCGGTAATTATATTATGCATAATGTTCACGTTTTATTTAAAACTTAAAGATACATTATGGGAGATAAGATAAAGAGATGGCAGTTCTCACTATAATAGTTAAAAGCTAGATAATGTAAAGGCAATTTGCTGAAAATTTCAGTCAAATTGATCTACTATGAACCGAGAATTAAACGATTGAAATTTCGGCCTAGCCTCCATCGTCATTACCAAAGTCTGTACGATAAAAACATAGTCTCGATCATCCATTTGATGATTTAATTATGAATGGAAGTCGAGCAGCAAATTGGATCATAATCCAATAAATATCGCATGCTAGCGATGCCATCGAGAGTTGATTATGGTCTGGATAAGTTAATTAATGTCTAGTTAATAATTTAGATAACATTTCAGGCCTAAAGAAAGACCTGCAATTGGCAGATTTAGCTCTTGCATAATCTATGTTTAATAAATATTACATGTCAATAAAAGAGGAGTATCCCATATTTTTTCAATATCTCTTTTATATTCACAGTTGCACATTTTATTGACATTTTAAGAAGGATAAATGATATTTGTTAGTTTTAATGTCTGTAATTTGGAGATAACTTGTAGTTTTTCGTCATTTACGATGCATACTATTGTACGTTTCATTTAATACTGAATACATTTAAATGTCTGTAAAAGGGTGACATTCTACACATGTCGGCCCATAATTTCATCAATATGGGACCTTCGAAATAACTTATATTTATGGGTAATTTTATTATGCATACTGCTGAACGTTTTATTTAAAAGTGAATAAATTTTGAGATAACTTATATTTTTTCAACACGTTTATTACGCACACAGCACATTTAAACGGAATAAATTATATGTGTTAGCATGAAGAAGGTGATCGTGTCTTATTTTATATCAAACAGATACATTGATTAGGGGATATCATTATCAATTACATATATGCCATAATACCCTGTCACTTGGAAAAGAAACTACCTTGATAAACTGGTTGGCAAAATATTTTATGTTTTTTGATGTTTACGACTTCCAATACAATTTTCATAACCAGATTGTTTGATCTACCAATCTACAATAATAGTAACATAGTTTTTGAATTTCCCTTTGTAGTACTATCGGACTTCGTTTCTAATTGTTTGTTTGATGGCCGAATGGTGCTGTATCATTAGGCCTGCCATTGAGTCAACTTGCACGGTTTCGAATCCCCGGTTGTACGTGACAAGAAATAATGTCGCCTGTCCAACCTCGTGGGTTTTCTCCGGGTCCTCCGGTTTCCTGCCGCTGCTAAAAAGACCCCTACGCGCAAGTGAATCATTGAAGTAAAATTAAACCAAATGTTAGTCCCGAAATGACCTAGTTTGTGTCGAGTGGGCGTTAAACTCTCTCTCTCTCTCTCTCTCTTTCTCTCTCTTTCCCCCCCTCTCTCTCTCTTTTCTTCGTGATCGTAACAAGACTACAGCATCAATGGTTTTACAACTTTATTGCGAAGCTGTAATGGCTTTGAAGGTTCCTCGTTCCCAATAGTAATGACTGCTAGGAATTTCTGAATGAGCTCTGATCCAACTCGCCCTACAGCCTAATTTATACCCCCTAATTTCTGCAGGTCTTCGATAACCCTAACGTTAATTTCCATTCCAAATATGGAATAAACCTCTTTATTTCAAACGACTGAAGGAGGAGACATTATCTTATTTGGTCTACCAACCATAGGTCAATGTCAATTAACAGCCAGAATTTGAAGGATATCTTGACAATGGTTATGATTTTACCAAAATATAGACAGAGTGAAGCAACAATTTTGCAAAGAACCAAAATTGTCTCAAGGATCAAAGTGTTGCACCTTTTTTTTTTAACTTGCTGTTACTAATTCGTTTTTAAGCTGCACATCAATCAATTTTGTTGCAGAAGTATTGCCCCTGTCACCAAAACCTGATAAACACTATGATGGTCAGTTATTTTCTATTTGTTAGAAATTTTATTGGGTTTTTTAGAATAACTAAAAGATAAAATGTATCGAAACTCGGTGTCACGCATGTAGAGTTAGTGCCCCTTCATCGAAACCTTGAAAACTTGCCGCGTTAGATCAGGTGATCATAAGGAAGAAACACATCCACAATCATGGAATGCCATTGAACCATGGGCTGGGTGTTAGAACACTGTGCCTTTCTTTCTTCTCTACACAAAGCTGCATGTGGGTGTACTTTCGTCGGCTTAAAACGCAGTTTAACATCTACCAAAATCTCAATTTTACAAAGAAAAACCGTTGCAAGTTGGGACTAGATAAAAGCTGTCACAATCCCATACAACAGTAATAATTTGAAGTCTTTTATTCAAATCTACTAAAGTATTAGACCAGTGCCCACTGTTTTAACGGTATTAGATTTAGATGTGTGTGTGTGTGTGTGGGTGTGTGTGTGTGTGTGCGTGTGCGTGCGTGTGTGTGATCTGGTGTGTGTGTGGTATGTGGGTGTGTGTTTTTGGGTGTGCGTGCGTGCGTGTGTGTGTGTGTGTGTGTGTGTGTGTGTGTGTGTGTGTGAGAGAGAGAGAGAGAGAGAGAGAGAGAGAGAGGGGGGGGGGGCTTAACGTTCAATGGGAAGGTAACTGGAGTACCCGGAAAAAAACCAAGTGGTAGGACAGGCGACCCCAACCCTTCTCATGTACAAGCCGAGATTCGAAACAACACCACTTGACTCATTGGAAGACCTATTGATCTAAAGAGATGGTCCCTACACTGGCTGTACATCAATCCAAATAAACTGAAATCACAATTTCGTTTCCTTTATGTTTCTGATGTTTGTGCTACATTACAATACAGCATAAAAAGCATGAAATGTCATCAGATTGAGTGAGGAAATATTCCCTTTTCCAACGTAATTTGATACAAGATCGGAAAAAAAGTATCTGTACAAGAACACTATAATCGGATGTGCAGGTTAGCAAAGGATCACACTTTTATTAGAGTTTAAAACTGATTCCAGCATTTAGTTTGCACTAGGAAGTAGAATCCGTATTGAAATTTATTTCCAGTCAACTAGTCTTGTCTAAAGCATTTATTTGAAATTTCCTCAACAGTGTTGGAAGAAATTGAATCTGTAATTATTTCCTTTTGACCTCACCCAGTGTCAACAGTATACAAAATGGATTAAAGTTGGAATGCCGGAAATTTTCATGTATTTACAAGACATGATAATACCACATAGTTTTTTTTTCTTAAACATACATTATGCAAGAGCTAAATCTGCCTATTGCAAGTCTTTCTTTGGACCGTAAATGCTATATAAACTATTAAGTAGGCATTTATTAACATGACATGACATGGCCATAATCAACCGTCGATGCCATCGGAGGAGTAAGATTTTAAGTAGATTAGAACGGTTCGCCCATTTAATGATTTACCGTACAGTGGTTACAATCAGTGCATACATCGTTTCAAACCTTAAAAGGCAAATTTCTTCGCATAGAATGAAGTAATTTGCATAAGATTTTCAATATATTCATTATGCATTTCCTATTTTTGAAATTTTATAGCAACAACGGCAAGCTATTTATTTAATTCTTACATAATGCATCTTTAAACTTCATATTTCTATTTCTATAATATATAAGATATTACCCCAAATACATTATAATAAAAGATGAAAAGCGATTGTAAACAATAATAAATTAGTATTATGCATAGATTTGATCGATAAATACAGAGGGTATGTAATTATTGAAAATTTAGAGATATTAAATGTGATTCTTTACAATTCTGCTCCCTTTATATTTTTACAAATACAGCAGGCCAAAATAACGCCAAATATCTGGAACAAAAATGAAAATACATTAGATATCTAATTTATTCAATTCTAAGATAATTTGACTAAAAATCATTAATATACACAATCGATTTGGATCTGTCGCCTTTTGTATTGTGGACTTTACAAGCAGGTAAATGGATCCAATTGATTTAGACCCCCACCACGATACGAAAAGTCATCACTATTACATGGGAATTAAACAAATTATTATTATTTTTTTAATTCTGATGTAGATTGGCTCCGCTTGTCGAATTGTCGCTGTATAATTAATATTTGGGCTAATAAGTGAAGAGCCCAAGGGAAGAATGATCTAAGTCACCCTTTCAACGATCCCCAGTTAATGGCACCATCTGGTAGCAAATTGTATAAGCTTTTTGTGGAACAATCAATTTCAGGTAAAAACGATCGGAGTCACACCGAACCAAGTCCCTTCTGAAATGGCCTCCCGGACAAATACAAGTCCATCGTACACTTTATTTAACCTTAATTTGCCTGAAAAGTTGAAGTCAGTTGTACTGCATCTTCAATAGAAGGTTTGATCTCGCTTTAACTACGTACATCTTATCAAGGCCTTCACGTAATACCCTGCATATTTCAGCACTAATTTCGTACAAGCCCAACTTATGAGCTTATCAGATTCATCGATCGTCCCGAATACCAAGTCTCGCGCTTTCAAGCTAAATTGTCTACCTGTGATAATCGAGTTGCAAGGTTCAAGGTTCATGCAATGTCAAGGTTTCCGTGAAGGTCGCGATGTTACAACCTCTGATTGGACGCTACTGCTCACGTGTCTGTAGATAACATAGTTATTAGTTCGGGAATTGTGAAGTAAACAAGCAACGTCCAGATCTTGTGAAACTCGCAGTCGTTGCTTCAGGAACATGGTTGTACTGGTAATTATGCTTCGTGTTATACATCATTTTGAAGTTGTAATTAAACCCACTCGTTGTTCTGTTCGGGTCAAGCATTCTCGTCCAAAAATCTGTTTTGCGTTTTATGCGAAAAGACAAAAATGTGACTTAGATCGTTCTTCCCCTGGACTCTTCAAGTATTTTTAAATCTCGCGGGTGTTCAAACTCACTTAAATATCGGCCACCTGATCATCTAGAGAGTTGATTATAGACTTATGTATCTAATTAATAAATTATACAACATTTAAAGCCAGAATAAAGACCTACAATAGGAAGCTTTAAGTGAAAAGATTATTAATTATTTACCTGTATAAAGGCTAAACCAATAGCTACACCAATCAATACAGCGTCATACTCTTTTATCTTATCGGTGATACTCTCAATACAGCCCTTTAAATAAGATATTAATACGACTTTAAAATTGAATCCCTTTTAAAGAGTATTGGTAGAACCGCCTTGTTCAGATTTTCCGCTTTCAAATGAAAGTAAATCTCTTATTCTACTGCTCATCACCATTAACAAAACAGTCAGTGTTATTTATTAATGATTGAACGACCCACAATCTTGCTTTAAGATCATATGAACATAATGTAAACCTCGAACTCAACAATCAAAAGAATAAACCTTGGGTGTTAAATATCTCAATCTACTCTATTTTTTCAGATGGCTACCTTTTGCCTAATCGCTACGGAAGCTTAAATACGAACTATTTTTTTATTTCCTATTTTTATCTTTAATTCTTAATTTTGAAAAATAATATTTCTGTTTTTAATTTTCGATTTTGTAGAATAATTTCATTTTTATTTCCTATTTTTATTTTTAATTCTTAATTTTGAAAAATAATATTTCTGTTTTTTAATTTTCGATTTTGTAGAATAAGTTTCAATTTTGTAAATTTGTATTTCCTATTTTTTGTAAAATAATTTTAACATTGTAAAATAATTTTGATATTGTAAAATAATTTTAATATTGTAAAATAGTTTTAATATTGTAAAATAATTTTAATATTGTAAAATAATTTTAATAATAATTTTAATATTGTAAAATAATTTTAATATTGTGAAATAATTTTAATATTGTAAAATAATTTTA